AGAGCGTTCCTTATAATAGGAAGTTTCGTAAGATAGCTCGTAAATAAATTGATTCTGAAAAAATCGAAAAGAACTTTCCATTTCTGGAACATGGAAGATTGATAATGTTTACCTACGCGAGGATAGTGTTATGATATATAAGAGATAACGAGGAAACATTCAACGTTTGTAAACAATTTCATGAACATTATAATATTATTCTTTAACCAAGAAATTAGTAATGTTCTTGACAAACTATGTAGCAAATTCCTTTTAGATGAACTAGTACTAAATCTTCGGATAAGATTAACTAATATTAGTACAAAGTGTATAACGAAATTTAACTAATATTACATTTCTTAAACAAAACTAATTCTGAATATAGATATTTATATATATTCTACAATAGAATATACAACTCCGATATAGAACTACTAGAGCAGTCAAATATACATTCTCAAATCTCCATAGACACTAACGCAGTCATCGAGATTCCAATGAACTCAATTCAATTTCCCTACTAAATCAATTTCTTTAGAAACTTCACAAAGAAGCTCTTACCTCCTCCCTCTTATTAATTAAGAAAGAAGACTTAGGAACCAGTCAACGAAACCCATTCCACTGTTAAGTTCCCACTTCATTCCCGTCTCCTCCAGGAATTTCCTTTCAGAGGCGAAAATCTACAGAACAGCGCCTGCCGCTCGCAAAATATTCCGTTTGTCCCGTGCCTCGTCAACGACTCGAGGAACCGTTCCCTCGAAACAACGCTCGAAACAGCGAACGACAAATTGGACTCTCTCGAGCGAGTCGGGAAAGGCGACAGGATTTTTTCGAAGGGATTTCTATCCGCCGTGATGCGATCGCGCGCCGTTACGTCATTTCCCGGGGTGTCCGTACGACGCCGTACGAGCTTCGTATTTTCGCGCAGCCGGGGAAGAGGTCGCAGGAAATTTTTACGACGCCGGGTTTATCCGGCTCTTATCAAGCGTACCGAAGGATCCGCGCGTCACGCGCGCGCACGCCGGGAAGATAAAACGGCGAGAGCATCGCCGGTTCGAGTTTCGAACCCAAAGGCTGGCAGTGCTTCGGGGGAGAGCCGACACCGTCACCGACCCAACCTTCAACCCATTTTTCGCTGGCGTTACGTTAACGCGACGCAACAATTTTATTTTATTTCCCTTCTGGGAGCTTCGAAGCGTTTATTTATTTTCGAGCTGTATGGTTTGCGATGTTGGCGGATGACGTTTCGCTTTTTAGCTTTTGATTATTTAACGGTACGTTAGTGCTTGGCAGGTTTGTTTTATTTTTATTTGGAGCTTCTGGAGCTATTTCTTTCGATTCTGAGTTGTGTGGTTTATGGTGGTAGCAAATTAGGTTCTGTGGTTTAGGAGAAACGTATGAAACTTTTTTGCTGCGTTTGAATTTAGATCAAGTTTGTGTGTGTCTTTTTAGTTTTTGATTATTTAACGGTACGTCAATGTTTGGCAAGTTCGTTTTATTTTTATTTGGAGTCTCTGAAGCAATTTCTTTCGTTTCTGAGTTGTGTGGTTCATGACGTTAGCAGATGTACGTTATGAGAAACGTGTATGAATCTTTTCGCGTTTATTTAAATTTAGATTAAGCTTATGTTGTTTTAAATTTTAGATTAATTAATGACACGTCAACGATTCGAAATTTTATTTTACTTCCGAAGCTACCGAAGCAATTCTCCGAGTTGCAGAGTTTCTGATATTACTAGATATTATAGCTTCTGAGATTGATATCGTAAGAAAGCTTCATTTTTAATATATCCATTTAATCGTACATTAACTTTAGATTAAAAGCGAGGTTTCCTGAATCTATCAGTTTCCAATGTAAATCCTCACGGTTTCCGAGAACGATTATAAAGACTGAAGCGATGGAAAGATAATCGATAATTTCGATGAATTAGAGATACTTTTCTTAGTTTCATAGAAATTAGTCACGTATACTCAGCTTATATATTAAGCGTGCGTCAACGCAACGTTACGAATACAACATTCGAGTACCCATCGAGCCGTATCACTCGGGTACAGTAAACAAAATTCACCGGTACTCCCACGCGTTTTTTATTCTCCTTTTACAATCGGCGAAAAATGGGTTAACGACCGGGAGTCGATGTCGCCGTGATATTTCGTTTCCAGAAACATCCCTCTGGTACTCCGTTCGACGAGCTCTTGTTCATAACTGTTGGGACAATTTCTTCGTTGGAAAAACCTGTTCCGATCTCCCTTATCATACAAACTAAAAAAATGTAGAACAAAATCCCGTGATACTTCCTCATCACCACAACACTATCCAAAAATTCTATAATTCCAACACAATCAGAAAATCAACTAAACGTCAATAATATAAATAACCAACCCCAATATCAAATTAAAATCAATCTTAATCATTGATGACACTGTTTCAAGTGACTTCCCCATAAAATCAGCGTTCCAGTTGTTCTAGCAATTACAAGGTACCCAGCACACTTTGCGCCAATAATCTGAATAACCAACCGCAATATCAAAAAATTAAAATGAATCTTAATCATCGATTACACAGTTCCCAGTAATTTTTTCTCATAAAATCAGCGTTCCAGTTGTTTCGGCTACAAGGTGCCCAGCACACTTTGCGCCAATAATCCGAATAACCAACCGCAATATCAAGAAATTAAAATGAAATCTTAATCATTGATTGCACAGCACACTTTGCGCCAATAATCCGAACAACGAACCGCAATATCAAAAATTAAAATGAATCTTAATCACCGATCACACAGTTCCAAGTGACTTCCCCATAAAATCAGCGTCCCAGTTGTCCCGGCTACAAGGTACCCAGCCCACTTTGCGGCGTCCTCGTTAGCTCGGTTCAGAAATCTTATCCACCGAGATTCTATTCCGCGGTCGAACCTCGTGCCGGATTATTAATGCCCCGGATAATGCCTCGTCGGGTTTGCGTCGTGCCCGGTTCGGCGTCCCGACACTTACGAGCAAGACTCTGTCTCCTCGGTGTGTGCTAGTTGAATTATTGCGACTTTGAAACGGGAAGGGGGCCGAGAAAGGGTTCCTAATGCTAAAGGGTTCCCTTAGACTGAACCGGAGACCGTAGTTCGAGCGCTCTTCGCGTTTAATCGAATCCCGGAAATTAGTCTCCGAGCGCCTCGTAATCTAATCGCAGGCATACACGATCAAGATCCAGGAACGGGGCATCGGCCGCCCCCAGGAGTCGCGGGGGAGACGCGGCCGGCCCCTTTTCCCGTTCGCCGGATCGACAAGAACCGATAGATCGTACGGACCGCGCCGTTCACGAGATTCAACTTCTATTTACGAAGAATTAGAGCTAATCGCCTAGTGCCTGAGAGCTCGAAGAGCGATAAGAATGAAATAGTCCGTCGAGTGCGTCTCGGAGGTTACACCATAGCTCCGCTATGGGACTCCGTTCCAGAGGCCGAGAGAGTTTCTCGGTCAGACCCACGATCGGGGATCAACCGATCATCGATGGAACTTCGACGAGTCTTTCGTCCGACAGGATCGAGACTCGATCCTGAGCTACTGGGCTCTGATCGAGGATTCTTTTCAGAGCCCAGCGATACCTCGGCGTCTCTAATTGAAGATCAGTCTTGAGCACTGACGATCCTTTCAGCTGGAAGCAGGAATCATTCGGAAATAGGATTCTTAGGTGCTCCGAGCTAGAGACACTGCGGAGATCGAATCCTGAATCGTTAGTGCCTTCGGAGATTCTTAGTTAGATTACTCGTCGAGTATTTCGTTATTCGTTAAGTGAGGTACTTAGACCGGAAACACTTCTAGAGTTCCTACAGTTAAATAGAACCAGCCTTTAGGCCGTCGTTTAGCTACCCCGAGCCAGGGGTTTGATGCAGCACCACTGAGTACCGAGTCTTTAGCGCCCTCGAAAATTCTCCGACACGTCCCTGAACATTAAGACCTGTCACCGGCAGATCTCTAATGATCTCTTCGGCATCGGAAACCGTCGAACCTAAAGACCCTCGGCGAAAGATACCCTCGCTACTCGTCCTCTATCGAATCCTCTCACTCCGGTATACCTACAGCAACAAATCGAACCTGAGAAACCATCAATCCCAAAGAAGACTCTCCTCCAGACACTCCAAGACTGATCTCCCACTTCAGAATCAGGAATCCATTTCCCAAAGACATCAGCTAGCAGCAAACAGTCCAACCGAATCTGCCATCGACGATGATCCTCACTGGGAGAGCTTTAACCCTGCTACGTTCAGCTTGCCTCCTTCGACCCGATCATTCTCCTAGCGTGTTTACTCTTTCGAAACTTCTCCAACGATACTTTCAGACTCGAAAACAGTAGACACGAGGAAACGATTCTGATCAACGTTGTTACCACGAATTTAACCACTTGCGGTGGAAAGACGTGCAGAGATGCTTCTGTTACAGGAGCGTCAGCGATTGTCACAGAAATGTCAATTTTCCAAATTGTCTTGAAAAATATCATAATATTCAAGATTATTAATAAACAAATGTATTTATACACGTGTAATTTTATCAGTTGATGCGTCTTTATTCTTCTGGAACTTCTCTACACCGCAAGTGGTTAATTAGGAAAAATCCGATTAGCCTGATAGATGTTCCAGGTTTGCGAATAATCTCTGAAAGCAGATCAACGGAGGGCCGTAGCAGGGTTAACCGATGAGCTCCGATCTTGGGCCGAACCGGTTTCGAAACCCGTTTCACCTAGTAAAAAGGGGGTGTATCGAGGGGATCTTGTAAAGAGATCCTTGGCCCGAGCCCGGCTCACACCCTTGTCTCGTTGTAGGGGCTGGAGGAGGTGCTGGTGCCCTGGCGACGCTGCCGGTCGTTGTCGCCGGGCACGTTGAACGCAACATTCGGCACGGTGGTCGGGTCGATCGGTTGGTAATGGGACTGGACCGGTTGCCCGCTCGGCTGCGATTGGTGAGAGTGGGAGGAAGACGAGGGTGGGCCCTCGCTTATCGAGGTCGTCGAGGCGAGAATACGGCGACCGCGTACCTGGTAACGTTGGGGGTAGCAGCGGCCGCAGCAGGCGTGCAGCAGGCCGCCCCTCGAGGCAGTGCTGTGCGCGGGGGAGGTCAGGGGCGACGGCGAGCCCGGCCTCTTCGGGGCACCGTTGTAGGGCACCTCCATCTCCACGAACTCGCGATCCTGGAACAGAATTGTTGCATTTTGTTAGTATGGAAGGGAAAGTTGGGGAAAGAATTGTGAGCAAACGAATTAATGCTTTGCGGACGAAGATCTTTGAGAATATTGGAGATTCTTTCTCTGAGAAGCTAAATTATGAAAATTTTAAATAATGCAAACGAAGGTGAGTACAGATCGTTGTTTTGTTATTTAGTGAATTAAGTTACTTGTTTGTAACTTGCGATGTCGTCAATATGAAGACATTTCGGCGACATGAAGTTTTCATGTTTCTAACACTGAGTCGCAAACGAATGATCAAATTACTGAAACAGTAAGAGATCAATACGTAGTTTTTGTTTCTCCTATTATTTAAGCAATTGATGTATCATTTAGCTTCATTTGCTAAAGGTTTTATATATTTCAAAGAATCTTCGTCCGTAAAGGGTTAAAAAGGGGTTATGGTCAATAGGTTTAGGGACAGTTATTATAGAACTTGTCCTATTGTTCCCCGAAAAATAGATATCGGTTCACTTAGATCTTGAGAATTATAGGTTTAAAAATAGATGATATTCGTGTAACGTCAATGAAAATCAACGTAAAAGATTTATTAACACTAGAACTACCGTAATGACTGGTTTCGATTTTTTTTAGCAATTATTGATATCTTCGAAGCATTGAACATTCGAAATGATTTTGAAAATAAATAGTTTCACTAGAGTACTATAATGAATCCCTGAATAAACTGAAAATAATCTATTGTTACAATTTTTATAGGAATTGCATATTAATCGTATTAAATGCTGGGTAGTTCTAGTGTTAAATAGTCTTGAAGAGCAGCCACTAAGCTCAAATTGTAACGGATATATCCTTATGACCTGAGCTGTTCAGTAACTGTTAATTTTTGAAATATTGCGAATAATATTACAATAAATATCATAAAAGAGACAGAATTCTCAACTCCATTGCTCCGCGGTGTTAATGTTCAGCCATCGAGCTAGTCACAGACGAAATAGCGAATACCCGAGAGTCTCTGTTCCTTTGGAAACGGTACGCTTGTCAATTGAATATACACCATTGAATTTACGAGAGAATACCGTTGTTATTTTTACCACGTAATACTTCTTTTGTCCCGCGACCGGAAAAGTTGCTCGACTCGCTCCAATCGCACGGACCACTCGTGTTTATTAATCCCATCTATTCTTGAAACTGTATTTTCATGAGAGACCGGTTTTATATCAAAGATCGAGCGGGAACGTCGTGCTTCATAAAAGGTAATTGGCCCAGTAAAAGAGTTACACTGTCGGACGGGAGAAATGTGAAGCCAGCCGGCGAAACCGCGGCCGAGCCAGACACAAATAATTCCAGAATTAAATTGATTTATTCAACCAAGACCCGTCGCAGTCGAGCATTGTCGATACTGCGCGGAGTCTACGGCCATAAATCGACCGAGTCGTCGGGTTAACGTCTGAACTTCGGTGCTTCGCAGTCGAGGAAGCAACCCTGAGACCAGCAGTATACTATTGGCTATAAAATTCAAGAATCTGTCACATTTCTCAGCGAGGAATTCGGACTGGGACCCGCTCGCGCGCGATTCAGCGGATCTCCAATCGGATTCTCGATCTTATTCGTGGCTAATCGATTCCCGGTGCAGCATGGTACATTGTACAGGTAACGCGGACCGAGGTGAATTCGGTTCAAATAAGAATCTAGTCGATATTTCACTCTCGAAGCTTGAAATTTCAAGTTTCTACCAAGATGCCTACCAAAAGGAAGATTTGAAAATTCTTACTATTAACGGACCAATGTCGAAATAGAAGCATGGCGAATTTATTTACTGGTTCCGATGTCGAATATAGGGCGGAAAAAGAATTTTATTATTTTTATCACTGTTGTCGTTGTAATATTTAACCATTTGCACTCGAGAGGCGCCATTCAGTCGCCATTAGATTTGACCCATGGAAATGATAAAATTTAGAATTCAATATTAAATTTTTATATAATGCTTCAACACATGGAACATCGAAATAAAATGGTTTTGTTACTTAATTTATGCAAGGTATTTCTTTATGTTAGTTATAAAACATATCGTTGATATTTCATCAGAAAATAATAAATATTTGTTGAGAAAAATATTCTTGAGTGCAAAGGGTTAATATCAACACATATTAACCCTTTGAACTCCGTAGGCTCCAATATTGCACCAGTTGTAATATTAAATATTTTAATGAATTTGAAGGAAACTACCTTAAGATTATTAGATCTTCCAAATATACAAAGTTGTTAACATTGTTAATTTTCAGTAGGACCACTATCACAATTGGTAGGAGTTGCTGACGTATCACAAAACTACGTGGAGTGCTAATAGATGCACTGTTGCAGATTCTACAGAGGAATTCCATTAGTCAATTTAATTGCTCGGTAGTTTTAGTGTTAATTATAATTTCTTTACTATCAAAAAGAAGCTCCGAATCTCCTCGGTCTATCTGCGCAGTCCGGTGAGAGGCAATGTAAAAATGCTACAATTTTCGAGTTTCTCCTTAGTTGATAAATTACACGTGTTCCCCATTTTCATTATTGGTAATGTATCACGGAGGTCGGGTCGATACGCGAGCTCGAATTTAATTGAAGAATCTTTACTTTTCATCAAAGTTATCGATACCGGTTCGGCCAGATTGCGCGCGTAACCACGTCGCAGTGGATCGAGAGCGTGCTTAGTCAGACGCGGTCGAGACCACTTTACCCCGGCGGGAAGCGATTTTTATCTCCGCTGCTTCGAGGATTCTTTTCTTCGTTTATTTTTCCCGATTGAGTGGCTGGATTGTACTTTTGAGTTTGCCTAAGAAAATTATCATTCCAACGTCGATCTCTATGCATTTGCTGTGAAGCTACGAAGTGAAAAATTGTATACAATACAAGTGATGAGAAGAGATATATATAAATTATCTAAAACACAATTTTTGAAAAAAAATTATTTACTAATCTCATTCTTCTGATCGTGTTCTTGAAAATCTGAGTTCACGTAAAAATCTGCATTCTAGTTATAACATGGACTAAAGATAAAATAATATTATATTATTTAGAACATAAAATAATATCATATTATTTAGAAGATAAAATAATATCATATTATTTAGAAGATAAAATAATATTACATTATATAGAAGATAAAATAATATCATATTATTTAGAAGATAAAATAATATTACATTATATAGAAGATAAAATAATATCATATTATTTAGAAGATAAAATAATATTACATTATGTAGAAGATAATATAATATTATATTATGTAGAAGATAAAATAATATTATATTATGTAGAAGATAAAATAATATTATAGCATAGAATGTAGAAAGTTATCTATTTTGTAAATGACACTAATAGAACGCGCTGGAAATGAATTATTACGCTTACTACGGTACTTCTCCGTGAACGGTGATCAGAACGAATCACAAAAGGATTTGTCACTCTAATCGCGGAACTTTCCGGCGAAATCGATCGAATAAAACAGAAACGGAGAAATTGATCTATTATGAGAGAGCCATTCCGGGGTACCCAAGCCCACTCGGATGAAACAGAGACGATTCCGACCAGGAGTATGACATTTATCGTTGGTTATAAAACGCGACGAGTCCGAAGCGCTCCGTGGGACCGGCGGGAAATTGTTCTGGGAGACGAATTCGCTTTCGAACGAGCGCGAATCGCGCGGACACCGTTCCCCATCGAGCACCGACGTGCTGGCCGAGCAAAGTTTCAGCCGTCGAGTGGCCTCCCTTCGTCCGACCGCTGAAACTTGTTTCCTCTCTCGAATTACACGGCCAACCGGGAACGAGCGGCTCGCGCTCGGGCCAGTTGTTGCCCTGTCCGGTGCATTCCCGACAGGATTGTCGTCCACGACCGCGTAATCATAGCTGAAACTAACTGCTCCGACCAACTTCAACCGTCCACCCTTACGTGATGGTACGAGAGTTCTATTGTTCCCTCGCAGCGCGAGACAATGGACTTCTTTCGTGATTTTCCGGATTCTTGGAGGGTGTGTTGGTTGCGATCTGTGATTTGAGAAGGAAAGGAAAGTTGGGAATACGGAGGAGACATGGAAGGCAAGATAATTAGACGTTGGTGGTCTTTATGAATATTTCCGATTTGTAGTTTCAAATTATGACGGGAAAATTGATAATTCTCTTCCCCACCGAATAGAAACAGTACAATCCACAACTCAAATTTCAAATTCCAAATTCTCACAGAACAACTGATAATCCTCTTCCCCGTGTAATAGGAACAGTACAATCCACGACTCAAATTTCAAATATCAAATTCCAAACTCCAAATTCTCACACAGCTGGTAATTCTCTTCCCCATCAAATAGAAACAGTGCAATACACAGTTTAAATCCGCACACGTCAAGTCAACTTACATTACAATCAAATAACAACAAAAATACCGCATCCTCATATCAATATATAGTAATTTCCCCATTAAAATCAAATAACAACAAAAACACCGTATTCTCTTGTCAATATATATCAATTTTCCAATTAAAATCAAACAACAACAACAACAATCCATAAAAACACCACATTCTCTTATC